CTCAAAAAGTGTTAAACATAGATGTGTTGAGCCGAATTGACTGACATGTTTTAGAGTCCTTCCTAATTGAATGATCAGAAGCACTATATTCAGCAATACTACAGATTCCATAACTTTACTGGAATTTAGTTGATTATGACAATCATAATAGTATACGTTGGATTTGATAAGTAGTGACGGCACGATGTCGATACATAAAAAATCCGGCTCAAAAACGTGGAAAGTACAGAACGCTATKTTACATAGGATATTTATACTAAATATGGTTATGATATTGTGCAGATTTTTAGCATATTACAGTGGAAATTTGTTTTGTTTTCAATAAAAACAATGAAGCAATAGATTAAAAAGTAGTCATTAAAAGTACGATATATACTGAGAGGAATACAGTCGTTACTGACTATATTATTTTCCGTTCAAAAACGAGGAATTCCCATCAGCTCTTGTAATTCAACAGAGCACAGAATGTAAACTCGAGCAAAATAAATAAGAAAACTTGTTTATTTGATAATGCAATATGTCATAAAACAAAATTACAGTGTCCGCGCWGGTTTTCATGTTCACACGAAAAGAGTTTTGATAACACAGCTTAAAATTAAAACAAAAACTCGCCATCATAATCATCGAGGGTAATCATTCTCGAAAAAAAGTCTTCATGACAACTTAAAAGTAGGTCTTCCTCGTCCAAAGACAATATTCCTATTCCTCTACAATCTACTTTTATAGAATTGRAACTATACTTAAAAACTTCAATCAAAGTTGCTACTGTTTCCTGTGAGTCCTCAAAGCAGTAAGCAATGTTTAAAATCTTCAATGCCTTGTGTTTCTTGAAAGCTGATTGACGTAATAGAGGATGGCTGATACTGGCAGAACAACACTGAAGTATTAGAGTTTGTAGATTTGGAAAGTTATCAGGTAACGACTGGAAAAAAATGTCAGTAAATATGCAATGGCTAATGTTCAGKAATCGAAGACAACTCAGATTCAAGTTCGTAAAATCAATGCGGCATTCATCACTTTTTACAACCCACGAACAACTCAAATAGCAAAGAGACTTAGTTTTYTCGATGCAATTMCTCAAACAAATCCAGTTGAGATTATGGCACTCATCAACAGYGATGGATTCTGTGGTTCTAAMARCATATTTGCTAACTGCTTCTCTTGTAATTGACCTCTGATAATTAAAGTCAGCATCTTTYYAAAGATATTGATCCTTTGATAGCAGCTCCCAGTGACGACAAACTAAAGGGATGCGGACAACTTTTTCAAAAGTCGAGAGATACTTAAATATGTGGCATAAAGCTTCGTCCGGTAACTCCTTCACAGTAGCTATCGGCATTTTCTCGAATGATAGAAAAATGTGCGCTACTTATATAGCGCATATGCGCAGGAAATGCACGGTTTCGTGCATTTTCGTTCCTACTACATATGGAAGAATAGCTCTATTTTCGCAATAATGAATTCCACTAAGTATCTTATTCGCGTTCCCGCGTTATGTAATGTTATGTTAACATAGANAAATCTATAAGAGGTGAATTTGTACCATTCTATAGCAATAATAATCATTGATTTTGTCACTATGATTTCAAAGACAACCAATATCACACTAAAAGTGTGTACTAATAAGCCAATCCGAACCATCAATCCTCACAGAACAGGACGAAACACTTATTGAGGAATTAGAGAAAGGCTTTGAAAAAGAAAGAAGGATGACGAAGGTTTGCAAGGTTTCTTTTGATTTAGAAATTACTCTAATCAGAATTATTCCGGCAGCAACTTCAAAATACAATAAAAAACTATAAAAATTGAGTGATAAAAATAAACTCTAGTTGCCCTTTTACTGGCACAAGCGTACAGCGATGTAAATGATTTTTTGAATTAAATAGCTTCTAAGCCTGGATATGTTTTTTTCTACTCTAAAGGTTTATTTTAAAGGGCGAAAGAGCGGTCAAAAAAGAAAGACAAGCACATGTGCCAAAACAAACAGAAAAAGCAAAGCCGGTAAAAAGARAAWGACGTCAACGTGATCTTTAAGAGAATTTTTTCAGTTGTCATTTACATATTTATGTAGTCTTATTCTTGCATTTGTGTTTTCRATATTTCCACTCTATTTTTCTCTTTACCACAAAAAACCKGACAATGCGAAWTCACTCTAATACAAAGTAAAACAGTTTATATGTCAGAGTTCTTACACWTATTTAGCGAGACGAGTAGTGGTAGGCAAATTCCGATTCTTTTGGGCTTTACTTGTATTTCCCTGGATAGCTAGGGGAGCTACCTTCACTACTTCAGTCGTGTCAAAGATTTCATGTTATCAGTTAGGAAAAATGTTTCTGGAGAAAATCCCGATTCTTTTGGGCTTTACTGTTATTTCCCTGAATAGCTAGAGGGAACTACCGTAACCACTTCAGTTGTGTCAAAGTCATGTTATCGAGTTAAAAAAATGTAAGGGAATGTTTTTTGACCAAATCCCGATTCATTTGGGCTTTACTGTTATTTCCCTGGATAGCTAGGGGAGCTACCGTCACTACTTCAGTCGTGTCAAAGATGTCATGCTATCAAGTTAAAAATATGTTTCTGGAGCAAATCCGAATTAATTTGGGTTTTATTGTTATTTCCCTGGATAGCTAGGGGAACTACCGTCACTACTTAAAAATTGTCAAATTATCAGGCTTATTTCTCAAACAAATCCCCATTCAAGATCTTAAGAAAATGCCAAACGAAGTTTGATTGCCTTGTTTTGAAATGCTCTATATTAAAGAGAAAAGACCTTCAATTAATGTTCAGASCGACTCTATAAAAGCTAAAGTATTTACCTAGCTAGAGAACAAATACTAAATGTGTGCAACACTTTGCACTATTTACTACAAAATAATGTTAATTTAACAATAGAAAAGAATAGAATTAGCATAAATTAGCAGTATTTAGTGGTATTTATGTTGCACAGTTTTAGTGTTTGTACTCTAGCTATTGTTGTTAATATCTCACTTTATTCCCAATAGCACTTGGCATGTAAATTTATTCTGTTAGCACTGATTCTGTGTGTAATATCTATTTATCTTCACTTGCTTGATAATGGCGTCATGACGACACCGAATCGTCGCAATTAAAAAAAAAAAAAAACACCATGTGTTTTCTCTCTTTGTCGTTTCTTAAATCCCCATTCATTGTTTAAAAATATCGAAAATATGGTTTGCCTGGATCGAAAATTATTTTGAGTCAAWTCACAATAACTTTGGATCRGTCTTGTACAAAATAGATTATAAGTACATGGATAGTTTATGTASTTGACCTCTATAAACGAGAGTTCACCTAGTGTGTGGGTGTTTGTAAATTCGACATGGCAATGGTAATATTGCCGCTTTTACTGTTATTATCAACTAAGTTAACTTAAATTTCATCTTATTTAGCGGTTATAATGCGCGCAAGTTATTCGAAAGTTATGTAAGTTATACAAGTAAAAGTATATTAACCATAATATGTCTGATGGAAGTTGATGTGAAAATTGATTGAACAACTGAATGTTGTAAATACATATGAAAATATTGCATATTTTAGTTAAAAATCGATTTTGTACATATACTCGAAGGATTAAAGATCATTTGTATCTTATTGTAGTCCGTGTAATGAGACTTGTTGAGTTATATCTCAATTCGTTTGTTTTTCCCCCCGCTTGATTAGACCGTGATTGGGCGACATGTCATTCGATGACACGTGCAAGATATTATCGCACGCGACGTACATGTTGCT